TTTATGGAACATTAACTATTTTTCCATTTATGGAACATTAACTGATGTGCAAAACCTCTAAAACATCAGAGTAGATGTTAATATTTCAATGGTCATTTAATTTCGTATGTTATATTACTAATTGACTTGAATTAAAATATTAGACCGGACTAAGAATTTGGTTCATCAGACAAAGGAATCAAGCCAATTAAACCAACTTCAAGAAAACAAAAATATGTTAACCGAACTAACCCAATAAATTGAGAAATTTTGTTCAAGATAATTATTTGGTTTGACTTTCGTTTCACCAAACTCTTCTTGATTCATTGTTTTTCCTTCACTTCTCCTTAAACCAATCTCTTTAATTTGTGGATGAAAAAAAAACTCTAATTACTTATGGTCTCACAAGAAGACGAAAGCAAAGACTTTGGAAAACATATGAGATATTTCATTTCAAAAAAAAACATATGAGATATTCGCAACACAATTGAAGTTTGGTTTATGGGTATTAATATTCAATGGAAATTATTTATAGCATTAGTGTAAAGGATAATTTTGTTTTGTGCACATGCTTATCGGCACAAATTAATATAACAAAAATGTTACATATTTATCCAATAATAATAACAACTTATAACTTATTTTTTGTTTTTAGCATATATGTAATTTTCAATTCTCCTTAAGGATATAATAGTCTATTTACACTAAAAAAAGTTAGATTTCAAAAAAATTAAAACATGGACTTTTACTTGTAAATAGGGTATTTTACAAAAAATCCCTTTTTTATATATCTTCAATTCATTTAATAAGTTTTTTTCATCAATTCGGTATTTAAAATTAAACCAACCCGTTGTATTTGGATACAAATTTCAGTCAGTTTTTTTATTTCCAGGAATTCTCTATTTGAAACTAATATCAGCAAGATGTATTGAAGTATGTCCGTGAAAAATATGAAGTACCAACAGAAAAATGTTACCACCAAAACATATCGAATCACTTAAGTGACTAAACGATCTAAAATGTTTTTGTTTTTGTTAATTGCGATGTAAAATGCTAAGTATGTCCTGATCGAAATCTGGAGAAAGACAGCAGATTAACGGCACTAGAAAAAAGAATCTAAACGAAAGAAACATTTTCATAAAGTGTAAAATATTTTGTGAAGTCCATGCACCACTACAATATTGTTGATGGTGGGCCTAGAGACTTACAATTACAGATAAGCTTGTTCTCGGTCTTTGGCTAATATAATCAAATTTAGAAAGTTTCACATAAAAAATCATCATGGATCCACACACGATCCTCTGTTTTTTTTGTTTTTGTTCTCTTTGTCCAAAAGATATATATGTTACTGATGTCAGCATACATAAACATAAATATTTAACATCTAAGTGTAAATGTGTCTTGTTGGTTTGTAGTAGAAAATTAGGAAACTTTTGTAATAAGAAACAAAACACGCACCACCTTATGTCGTCCCATCTCCAACATGACCTATGATTTGACGAAAACCACTTATACATGTTCTTGATTAACACTAATCTTTTTACTGTACCTATAATTTTTTTACAGCATCCTAAAACGCCGTCGTTTCCCCAAAAGGAAAGATCGATGTTTCATAGAAACCCTGCAACAGATCGCCGGATATACACACACAGATACATATTAGACCGACTCAAAAATTCCATATATGAATCGCAGTACATGGGGTAAAAAATACTCTATTCAATGGGGATTATATTGTCTCTGAAGCAAGAGAAAGAACTTTGAATCTGCGTATCACTGACCATTTGCTTAAGCTCAGTTGTTTCCTCTTTAAGCAGAGCATTTTCTTGAAGAACCTTGTCGTGAGACTCAGAGATATTGTTAAGCTTTTCAATCAACTGATGATTTTCTGTCCTCAACCACATCACCTGTGACCAAAGCTCGTCAAGTTGTCTCTGCTTCCTCATACGCGATCTCCTGGCGGATTCTCTGTTTGATATCATCCTTCTCTGTTTCCGCTCATTGATTATGATCTTGTTCGTCTGATGCTCTTCTGCTTCGTCCGATGTTGAGTTGTTGCTGCTTAGGCTCATGGATTGTGGATTGTTTATAATGGTTTGGAATCCGTAGAAGGGCGTGTTTTGACCGTTGCTTGGAAATGGCAAGGATATCGGGAAATTGGAAGGACTCAGAGATGAGACTGACGAGTTTAGGACGTCCGTGTGCGGCTGCATTTTGGAGTTGACTTGGGTAGAAAGTTAGGTTTTTATTATTTACTTGATGAGAAGAAAGGTAGGTCAAGAGGAGAAAGCTTCGAGAGTTCTGATGGAGTTTTCCGTGTGTGAAGAGAGGAGATAGTTTTATAGAGTAAATGAGAGTAGATGTTGGGGGTGGAGCCCACTTTCTGCAATTGGGTGAAGCAATAACAAAGTTTTTTACATCAGCTTTTCATTTTTTTTTTTTTTGGTCACATTTGTTTTAAAATTTTTCTTAACAAAACAAAATTATGAATGAACAAGCAGTTTTTTAGTGATGTATTCTAGAAGGGTTTTTGAAACCGAATTAATATATTATCTACAAAAGAAAATTATGAATGAACAAACATTTTTTTTAGTGATGTATACTAGAAGGGTTTTTGAAACCGAATTAATATATTATCTATCTGTACAGTTGTTTGGATTGGATTTTGGGTCATCCGTACAAGGATAGTAGACCACTTGCAATTGTTCTATAAGAATAAATTCGAAAGCATAAGATAAAATTTCCTTCTTCTAAAAAAAATGAGACACTATGGTACAATAAATTCGCCTGTGAGTGTTGTCTGGTGTCGTGGGAGAGAACAATATAAGGGAGTGGGTTTTATCAGGGGGTGAGTGTGGGTTTAGTTTGATTCAATATACGAAAATCTTGACACCGTGTTCTGTTTAGAATAGGGCTGAGACAGGAAAAAAGAACATTCGAGTGAGAGTGGGATTGGAACTCTCTCAATTCCCAAGAGCTTACCAGCGTAGGTGGTCTCTCGAGAAGATCCCCTTTTCTATTATATGTGCCTTTGGAGTATTGTGAACAATTAAGTTTTGAACTAGTTAATGCGTGTTTTCATTTTTTAGTAACTTGCGATAATTGAATCTATTAGGCTGTTAAAACATAGTGATCGAAGTCACGATAGATGTTTCAAAATCCTTATTAAAATTTTAAATCAATATATTTACGTGTTTCAAAATTTTCAGCAAATTTGCTTAATGCCTAACATTTTTTTCTTATTAATTTCTTATCGTTGATTTATTTTCTTACTTTGTAATTGCTTGCCACATTTTTCATAAAAATCCAAAACAAAAATCATATTTTATCTTAGTTTAATTTGCATCTTATAAATTTGTAGTGTTAACATCTTTATAGTCTCCAGTGGATCGACCTCTCAGTACTACTGCATTTGATTGTGCACTTGCAACTTTCCTACGATTATAAATTCAAAACTTTTTTAAACCTGCATCATGCTGTTATTACTTCTCGCCCCAACGCGCTTACATTTCAAATATTTATCCACGAAGGTACCAGTGGCTTCTATTAGCAAGGATAAGGGAAAGATGATTGAATTTGTTCGTAAATCAAAGGGAACCAAAGCTTCAAAGAAAAGTGGGACGAATGTCCACTCAAGGAGAAGGTTCAACGACCTACGAAGTGGTTTCAACACCGAATGGACCTATAAGCACTTAAGAAATTGAATGGAGTCGAGATACACGCAACTCATTACGTGGATCAAGACCGTCTTCAAGATTTGGGTTTGTTGGAAGACTTTAACAATGCCATGCAAAGAATGGAACTTTAAACATTTGTTGGCATGGATAATCCAACCTATGAGGTTCTCACAAAGGAATTCCTAGCCACTGTTGTAGTACACTACGAGAGAGAGAAGCAAGACTGCTACGGAGGTAAGCATCTGTTTCAAGCTTGGAAAGAAAGATTACGCCATTTTGATCTTTGCGTTGTGCGATGTCTACAACTTTGATAAGACACTATTGGAAAAGTTCCCGCCCTTCAAGGAATTGGATGCATTTTGGGACACAACTGGAGTGGGAGCTTAGGAGTACAAACCCACCTTGAGAAGAGAAGTCTTGTCAGAAGCCCGGTTTTGAGATACATACACAAGGTCTTGAAAAACACTTTCTTCACTACGAGAGAAGTCAACACGGTGAAGACGGATGAGCTAACTCTTTCAAGGGGTGAAATACTTACTAGAGACCGAAGATGAGCCATTCATTGATAGTCTTGGCGACAATGTCAATTACAGGGCGGTCTTTGCGAGAACTTTGCCACTCATCCGCACCTACACAAGCCAAAACATCTCCATCATTGGGGTTCTCGGTCACATCTTTGAAGAGATTGGAATAGAATTCTGTAAATACTCACTCAAACAAGAAAGAAACTATTGTGACCTTGATTAGCTCATCAAAACTATGGTCATCAAATTCAATAATTGGGAGCATCCACCTTACTTCTACATGTTGACAACACCAAGGCATAAACAACGATGCCTACTCCTACCCAACACAAAGTTAATCTCTAAAAGGAACCATGACAATCTCTTGTTCGATACTGATGATGAAGATTGTGNACAAAGAAAAGGGTACCTCGATAATTTTGAGACAAATAACGACAACGAAAAATAGGAGGACGAAGAGTCTC